AAGCCTGCCCAGCCTGCATCTCCTACAAAGCCACGGGACCAGAGCCCTGCCAGCAGCAGGAAGGGGTCGCCCCGGTCACTGGGCCGCAGGCCCCCCTGCAGATCTCCAGCCCAGCCTGCCAGCACATTTCGAGAACTGCGCTACGCAAGGAAGGAGGGTAAATATACACACACCACACACACACACTTTAACTTTCTTACTAGGCTCAACTCCTACCCTTTCACTTCATTGATTTACACCTCTCCTTCGGAGTGTGCCTTCATAAACTTTAGTGCCTTTGAATTCCTTTTCCAGTATACATACCTAGGTAACCTCTCCTGAACCTTGATCCCTCAGTTTGTATTATCCCTTAATAAATTGATTAATTGCAAACTAAACATTGGTTTCAGTAATAATTTGTGAGCGTGGTGGGAGGGTACTTTAATCTACCCTCTTAGAAACGAACCCTCAGCGGCCATTCCTCTGAGAGAGGTGGACGCTCGGGCTTTTTAACAAACCTCTCCTCATTGGGGGGGGGAGTCGCGAAAACATCCTGACAGCCGGTAGCCCTCTGGTACCGGCTCGCGACAGGTGAGGTGAGTAATGTTCCTTTGAATAACGATTTTAAAAGGAGATGTAGTTTTATAGATCTGAAAGGTATCCAGGACTACACACATTGGCAACACACAGAGAAGTCAGCAATAGTGTAGCATTATTTCAAAGGCAGATTTTTGAAAAGGATACCTCATTTTACACATTGCTGATGATGTAATGATTGTCTGATGTTGCTTTTGATTATATCAAACATGTTTGAATTCACTTTTTTTTTTTACTATTTTGGCCTTGTTTGCCAGTTACTCACATTCTTCAAACTTTGTAATGTCAGTTCACACTTCTGGAAGTAACTTTGAGTTACTGAAAGGGACCTCTCTGATTTGTATGCCAAAGCACATAATTATTATCTAACGACAGTGTAAAGTGGAAAAGCACACAAGAGAAAACCCACAGTTGTCCAAACTAATATCTGAAGTATTAAAGTAAATGACAGCCTTGGTAACCTGCCTTTTGTAGCAAAGGTTCTTCTTTTTAAATACAGGGCACTCTAAAGCAATGTTCTTCTCCTTCCAAAAGATACTACCCCAGATATAACAAGTCAGTGTTGTGTTGGTTTACCTAGACAATGTAAAAAAACCTCTAGCTCAAACTGTGTACACAGGCTGAAATAACTAACATTTACATAGTGCACCACTTCCTTTTTCACTGCTAGCATTTCGGATCTGAGTTGATAGCATTTCCCCTTGAACAAACATCTGAAATAGCAACAAGCTTCAAAATGGATTTCACATTCTCTGTTTGACTATAAATGTGACCAAAATCCAAGGGAAAATAAGTATTTGGGCTCCTAAATGATTCTGAAAGCTATAATGTTAATGTGTCTGATGTAAATAATAGTTTCAGTGAGTGCATTTATTTTGGCTTCTCAGGATGAACTAGGAGGCTAAGAAAGTCACATATTGTCTTTTTTAAAGCAAGTTCCACATTTCACTTTCAAAGTCCAGGCCGAATTCATAAATTCTTCCTGCTATTTTCATCAGGGAGTATGACAGTATTCAGAAATTTACTTTCTTTGCCATCAGTTAGTGATGATGTTTCATATTTTCTAATTTTCTAAGCTTAATCTTGCAAGATCTATACTTCTTGTAGATCAAACCCTTGTTTAGCCAAGATTTGTTCCTCACTTTCACAAGTCTTTCTTGCTCAGATGAACATTTTCATACTCAGAATTCCCTTAGAATTTCTTTCCGAGAGTCTCCTTATCTGAATCCTAGGCCAATAAGGTCCACATGGAGTTGAATTTTAAAGCATATACACATTTACTAGAAACATTTCCCTAAACTTTCCTTTAGCAGGTGAAGCTGTTGCAAAGAAAACAATGATTTTTAAATCAAAAGATTACTATAGAAAAATTATCCAGTGCTCTGTGGGATTGATATGAACTTCAAATAAGCTTAGCCAAAATAACAAACATTTTTCATAAACTTTTTCTGAAGTACTTGAGGAAGCAAAATGTGTTGCTTTATTTCACACAGCTTCCAAAATGTAATTGATTTGCATCTGTATTTTAACAAAACCAATATTTAACAGAGATAATACAGTGGGGTAACTTTTCACTGAATCTACTAATCTCTGTGGTATCTTCTCAATTGGAATTTTAGCAGAAATTTCTTATTTCATCATGACATCCTTTGGATGGAATTCACATCAGATGTTGCATAATAAGAAACAAGAAATTTGTGGGGGTTTTGCAGGGGTTCCAGTAAAACATTAATACAGTTAGTTATAGGCAGTTTCTCCACTCTCCATATTTTCACTGTCTTAACAAGAATTTGGTATGTTTTCTGAAATGCTTTTAGAAATGGATAAACTGTCCTCCACCAGAAAGAGCAGTAAAAAAAGCTTTAGCCAAACTATTTATTGAAATCAGGAGATTCAAGTAAGCAAGAGACTGTTGTTCTTGAGGTTTAATTATAGGCATAACAACAGATTCTTTATTACACAGACTTCCTAAAGGGCCTCCATAAAATATTTTATTCTTTCTCTAAAACAGAAAAATTACTGTCTCTAACTTAAAATAAAAATAATTAAAATTGGTAGAGATGGGAAATACTTAAAACAGGTTTTGAAAAAGCCACAAACAGTATGTCTCAAACAAATTGACATTTTTTGGCTACACGTTTGAAGAGGTATAAATGTACTGTGATTTACTCAGCTTCCCACTGCATTCAAGCCATCAGCACCCCTGTTAATGGCACCTATGATGGTGAACTGCATTGGTGCATTGACTCCTACAACAAAGCCTTCAGGCATAGTACAGCAAACAAGAGCTCAGTGAGGTTTTGAGTACAGATACTGCTTAAGCTGATTTCCCCCCTGTATTTATTGTAGAAATACATGGAGTTGCACAGAAGGACCTACATCAAATTCAAATACCAAAAAGGCTGAAAGGGAAAGAATAACCTTCTTTTTTGACTTCTTCAAAGACCAAGTAAAGGTGTGTTTGTGTTTTGACTCTCAGATAGATGGTTATGCCATTTGTGTGTATCCACATGAGCAGTTTTAAGAAAACAAAACACATCCAAAGCTGGTAACTTTCTGCTGTTCATCATCTACTGCAAGAATAAACCATGGCCAGAATTACTGAACACGGACAAAAAAAATTCAGCATAAAACCCCTTTAGTTTTCAGAACTTCAGCATGTATTTTCTGTGTTATTAATTTATTTGTATAAGTACCAAAAACACCAGGCTGATAAATATTTACTGTTGCACTATCAACAATACCAAAGACACCGTGGAAATTATCAATGTGAAGAAGTGCTAACCTCTGCTGAAGAAAAAATTGCAAGTGGGCACCAGTTCATTCTGAGTGCACCGAACTGCCCAAACAATTGCTTTTGACTCCACTGTCTTTACAATTGTCATTTTAAAGGCTGAAGTTATTTCCTCTCTCCACCTCAAATTTTTCTTCCTTCCTCCTGATTTTGTGGAAAACTTCAGTTCACAGCCCTTTTTCATATTTTCAAATTTATTTTGTTATGTGCATCCAGGCAAGACACACTAGAGAACATTGCAGCAACACGTTATTAAACTGCCTATTTTTGTTTACTTATGTAATTCCTTTTATTTCAATTACATGTTTTCACATTTTGCTAAAATATTTATTTACAATGCTACATGTTGAATAAAATTCTCCAAGTCAGCTAAGGAATCATAAAGAGATTCATTCGTGTCTTGACTTCTGAGAAACTTTCTAAGGGTACCTAAAGCATTCAAAGCATCATTTTTTGATGGTAAAGGCTGTTGAGCTCCTTGAAATCGATCACCTTCATCCTCATCTTCATCACCAACAAAAGTCCCAGCTTTATCTGATGTGCTTTCTTTGACACGCATCCCTTCATTATTTGTGGGCATTTCGCAAGTTGCCAAGCCATCATCTAGAGCTGCATATTCCTCCAAAGATAAACCTTCTGGAAACTCCACTCCAGCTGCCTGAGCATGTGCAATCAAATCAAAATCACTTTCAACCTCTGTGTCATTACCATTTTCCTTGGTTTCCAGTTTGAATCCTGCTTCGTTAGAACTTTTGATAATAGTCCCTGGTACTACTTTCCTCCAGCACAGGTGCAACATCTCAACTGCATCAAGAAGAGTCAGTATAAACTCTTTATTACCTTCTACGCAGTCAACAAATCTCTTGATAAGACAGCGCCTGTATTTAACCTTCAGACTTCTGACAGCTCCTTGTTTTGTAGCTATACATGAAGAAGCATCTGCAGGAGAGAACACCAACTTGACAGACTTCAGGTTCTCTACTTCTGTGTGAGCTGGGAGAGAATCAACAAGAATAACTACTTGTCGTTGCTGTGCTTGAAATCTGTCATCAAGCTTATGCATCCACTGTTGAAACACTTCCACAGTCATCCATGCTGGATCATTTGCTTCATAATCCACAGGGAGCGACTTCACACCTTTGAAACAGGGTGGACTTTTGTTTTTTCCTATAACAAGCAAACGAAGTTTCTCGGAGCCATCTATATTCGTACCCACCACTACAGTTATTCTCTCTCTGCTTAGTTTACCTACAGAACAAGATTCCCCTTTAAACGCAAACGTGTTATGCGGCAACATCTGGTACAACAATCCAGTCTCCTGTATATAAAACACATTTTTTGGCTTATAATCATTTAAGTAACAATGAAGAACGTTTTGGTACCAAAGAGTTGGAGCATCCACTGCAGTAGTAGCACCTGCTTCTACAGGCTGAGCTCTAAAAACCAAACCATACCTGGACTTGAAACGATCAAGCCAGCCATTACTGCATTTGAAACCACTGTGTCCGAGCTGCTGGGCAAAATCATTGGCCTTGAGGCGCAACATCGGGCCGTTCACCGGTACGTTCAAGCACTGGGCGATTCTGTACCACTTCATCAGCGCCTCCTCCAGGTCGCTATAAAAAGCAGTCCTCAGCCTTTTTCTTTTAGGATCAAACCGTAAAGATTCGAAGGCTTCAAAAACTTTTTCTTTATTCTTCATAATGGCAGACAAGGAATTCTTCTTGATGCCGTATTTGGCTGCGATGTCTGCCTTTTTCTTGCCGCTCTCCACAGCGCTTATGATACTGATTTTTTCCTCGATAGATATGCTTTTCTTCCTCCTCACGGCAGGCTGGGGCAGGGGACTCCCCGCAGCCTCTGCCATGGTCCCCCAAGGCTCCGGGACACCCGCACCCGGGCGGGCAGGCTCCTGCTGTGCCGCCCTCGGCTCCGGGCGCCTGCGATGAGGCGGCTCGTCAGGCCCGCACCCTGACCTCACGGGCATGGCACTGGGCAGCGGCAGGAGCCGCCTCCCGGCTGCAGCTGGCACGGCTCAGTTCTGCCACCGGCTCGGCTGGGGGGCGGCTCCCCAGGCAGGGCTGCCGCCCGCGCCCAGCCGCAGGCTCGGGGGGCA